CGCGGCTCCGCGCCCGCCTCGCCCTCGCCGCATGGCGCCGCCGGGCACTGCCCCACGTCGTAGTAGCGGGGCCCCGCGGCCGCCCCGCGGCACTCGGCGGGCAGCTCGATGAGGTTGGGCTCAGGCTCCACCTTGCAGCTCTGCTGCCCGGGGGCTGCGGGTGGCAGTGGGGGACACCGCGTTAGCAAGAGGGTCCCGCGCCGCGCTGGGCACCCAACCTGCTGCTCCTGCACTGCGAGGTGCAACAACCCTCCTGGGCCAACGTAGCCATCTGGGCACCGCTGCCACCCCCGTGCACCCCTTCCCTTGCAAACCCCCGCTCCCGGTGCCGTCYGCGCTCACCCAGCACGACCAGTTGTGCCGGCGCCGAGCGGATGGCGCCTGCCTCGCTGCTGGCCTTGCAGTGGTAGGTGCCGGCGTGTGCCACCGTGAGTGCCCGCAGCACCAGGCGGCTGTCGTACTTGAGCACCTTCCTGTCCAGCAGTGTCCCGTTGTGGTACCTGCGCGGGGACGGTACCTGCGTCAGCGCTGGGCTCGTGCAGCCCCTCACGCCACTGCGCTGGCCCCGCACTCACCAGAAGTACTTGGTGGGTGCGGGGGTGCCAGCRGCGCCGCAGCAGAAGGCGGCAGCCTGCCCGGCGCGTCGCACCTGGCCCTGCGGCTGCGTCACCATGTAGGGCTTCTCTGCAGGGAGGGAAGGGAGCAGAGGTGCCCGGTGCCCCCCGGCACCTCCCCGCCGCCGCCCCGGGCTCCCCGCGCCCGCGGTGCCGCTCTCACCCAGCCGCTGCAGCACCAGCCGCGCCACCGAGAGCCCCGATCCGTTGGAGACGATGGGCGCCAGCGCCGGGGCGAACTTCTCCAGGTGGGCGCTGAGGTTGGCGGCGGCGCCGGGGCAGAGCCCGGGCACGTGGAAGCGGCCGCGCGCGTCGCTCCGCGCCAGCAGCGCCGGCGGGCGGCCCTCCAGGAAGATCCGCGCTCCGGGCAGCGCCGCTCCGGCCGCCGACACCACGGTGCCCTGCAGCGCGTGGCCCGGGCAGGCTGCGGGGCGGGAGCGCAGTGATGAGCGGGACGGCGGCACGGGGGGCTGCAACCCCGCGGGCACGGCGGGTACCTGGGCAGGGCGCGGGGGGACACGGCTGCACCTCGGTGGCCCGGCCGGCGCACGGCGACTTCTTGCCCCCGGGGCAGCTGCGGCGGCGCTGGCGCTTGGCGGCGGCCCCGCAGCTGCGGGAGCAGGGCCCCCACGCGCCCCACTCGCCCCACGCGGCCTCTGCGGGCAGAGGCGCCGGGCGGGCGTCAGCGGCCGCGCGCAGCCCCCCGAGTCCCGCGGCGCTGTGGGAGGCTCCGGCGGGCGCTGCCGCCCAAACCGCCCGGCCGGGCCCTACCTGGGCAGGCCTCGGGGCCGCACGGGCGCCGCTCCACCGCTTTGCCCTTGCACTTGAGCTCCTTGAGCGCGGTGGGGTGGCGGGCGCTGACGCAGCGGCGCCGGCGGCTCTGGGTGCCGCGGCCGCCGCAGGCGCTGCGGGAGCAGGGGCTCCACGCGGACCAGTGCGACCAGTAGATGTGCTCTGCGGAGGGCAGGCGGCCGCTGGCCGGGGTGTCCCGGGGGCTCCCGCTCATCCCGCCGCTCCCCAGCTCCTTCCCTGTGCCAGGGCGCTCCCGGCGCGGGGATGGCGGCGGGGCCGGGGAGCAGCGCGGGCGCTCCGGCCGCGGCGGCACTCACCGAGCGGGCAGAGGAAGCGGATGTGGTAGTTGGAGCAGGTCTTGCCCGGCGGCTGCTCCGTGTTGACGCAGCGGAAACCCTTCTTGGGGCTCACGTGCACCACCTGGCCCACGTCCCGCGGCAGCTCCCACTCGGTGGTGCGCGCCTGCACGGCCACGGGCCGCGCGCACACCCGCGCGCCGTAGTAGAAGCGGATGGCGTCCAGGCTCTCGTAGTCGCCGCCGCCGCCGGGGTGGTCGATGTTGAACCAGGACGTCCACTCGGCACCGCCACCTGCGGCGGGGCCGCCCGTGGGTCGCGGGGCGGGGGGCACCGGGGCGCGCGCGGGGCCGGGGCGCCCCTACCTGCCGTGGCCAGGTCCGGCTCGGCCGGCTCGGGGGCCGCTTTCCAGGGCTTCTCCGGGGCGCTGCTCTTGCCTGGCTCCGAGTCATTCTCCGAGGAGTCTGGGGGACGCGGAGGGCGAGGGTGGTGCGGAGCCCGGCGGGTGCTGGAGCCGGGATTGCCCGGTGCAGCCCGGGAAGCCCCGGGAAGCAGGAGGAATTTGGGCTGCAGCCTCAGAGTCCCGGGCACCCCCAGGACCGGGGCTGTTTGCAGGGAAGGGGCAACGCGGCCGGTGCCACCACGGGGAGCGACCTGGCGATCCCAGCCAGGTGTCCCCGAGCGGCCGTTCCCACGTGCACGGGGTCCCGGTCSCGCAGAGGGGCAGGCGGCATCTCCGGGATGCAGCCGTGCTGGGATGCGGCAGCACCGGGAGCACCACAGGGGCTGCACCGGAGCCCCGGGAAGGAGCCGTCCCCACCGGAGCTGCAGGTGCCTCACGGGAAGCACCACCAGGCGCTTCCCTAGTGGGAGCGGGACCGGGGCGGGAGGATCTGCCCCGCCAGGAGGGGCAGGAATTGTCCCAACGGGAGCGGGACTGGGGTGAGAGGATCTGCCTCGTCGGGAGCAGCAGGAATTGTCCCAATGGAAATGGGACTGGAGCGGGGCGGGAGGACCTGCCTGGCTGGGAGCAGAGGGAATTGTCCTGACGGGAGGAGCTGCCCGGTCGGGATCAGAGGGAATGTCCTGACGGGAGGGACGGGAGGAGCTGCCCGGTCCCCGCGGCGCCCGCCGGGCCCTACCTGGCGCGGCGACGCAGTGGCAGGCGGCGAGCGCCAGCAGCGCGAGCGGCGGCCGGAGCATCCCCGCGGCGGCGCCGGGCGCGACTGGGAGCCCGCGGGCCCGCGCCGCTATATAGGGGCCCTGCCCGCTGCTGGAAACCGGAGCCTGGCACGTGGGGCTCGGCCGGCGCTGGCGCCGGGACAGGCGGCGAGCGGGAGCGGGAGCGGGAGGGACCCCCCCGCCCGCAAGCGCGGGCTTTTGCAGCCAAAAAAAAGGAGCTAAAATTGGATGYGGCGGGTGGGGGGGTCCCTGTGGGGGGAGCAGCTTCCAGCGCCAACCGGGAGCCGCCGGCGGCCCCCCCGGGGCCGTGACCCAGGGGATGCAGAGACCGCGCAGCGCTCGTTGCACCCATGGGTGCACCCGGGGCGGGGGTGTCCGCGGTGCCCCCCCCCGAGCGGGGGTCGCCGGCAGCGCCGGGGCCGCCCCTGCCCGCGGGGCTCCCGCATTGCTGGGATGCCGGGGAAATGAAACCGGGGGGGCGGCGGGTTCGCGGCCCCCGCGCGCGGCACGCGAGCATCGCCCCCC